TCTCCCCCCCTCTCTCTCTCTCGCGTGTCTCGTGCTGTGTGACTCGCACGGCGGCCTCCCATTGGCTGCCGGCGGACACCCCGGAGCAGGTCGCTCTCCTCGGTGCTGAAATCGCTGCTCGTCGTGATAATGTGAAACGGCGATGAGGCCAAACGGAGGAGCGTCAGTCAGTAAACACCAAAATGGACGATGATCTGTTCCAACTGAGACAGCTGCCGTGAGTAGACTGCGCCCCGCACATTTAACGCATTTATTTGTTGTTGTTGTTGNNAGAGAAAGCAGCAGACCTTCCTTTATCGGAGATATTCTGTTCTCACCGCTTTGGAAAGAAATCTTTAATCACATTTATTTGTTGTTGTTGTTGTTGTTGTTGTTGTTGCGGTTTTTTTTTTTTTTTTTAATTCGGTCCCTTCTGTCGACCGTGACAGCACGTTTTTGGCCCGACGCGTCGCCCTCTGACTGCCTCTCAGTGTGTTTGTGTGATTAGCTCACTGGACCACAAATAACCGCTCATTCCTTAAAAGCAGCATGCATTTAATACCAGCGTGCATCCATATTTAATTCAAAATAAGCATGTTCAGCTGCTGTTTACAGTCGTTGCATTTGTTCCTAAGAAGACAATTTTCTTGTGAGGGGGGGTTTTGTTTATTCACAGGAAACAGGGTTGCTGTGATTTCTAAGGTGATCCGTTTAATGTTAACTTGTGGTTGTTGTTCCGCTGTCATGACTCAGTGGCTAACGTGATTTATTTCAACCCTGATGTACATTAAGCTAAAGGCTGGCCCGTACAAGTGCAGCCTGGTCGTCAGGAGGAACGTTTCCTCAAAGACATTCAGCTAAAACAAAAATTCTTGCTTCTTAGAAGAGTTACATGAACATAATGAGAAACAAAATACTGTATTTTAAAGGGGTTGTTACAGTTTTGCTAAATACATTCACTTATATTTTTCTCTAAAGAGCTTGAAAATGAACATTTCAGTGTCTGGGCATCTCACAAACTCATCTGCAGCACTGATACTTGCCATTGCAAGTAGGCTATGTTATGTAATTACAGTGATTAAGGCGACACTCACCAAGTTTTCTTGTAGTGTTTCATCCTCACTTAACCATCTATTATCGACATCTGGGAGAAGATTATACCTTTCCATCTGTGGAAAACATGCGTGTCTCTGGGTGTTATGAGCTTGCCAAGCAGTAAAGAGCAGTGTGCAGAGCTGTCAGTTGGCCTGACATGGTTCGCCCATAGGACGGTATTACCACCCATTCACAAAATCACAGCCAGAAAAAGCTCATATCACCTAGGCAACAGCCTCTGACTTTCATTTGTGCTCAGTTTTGCCCTGGCACTCTGAAATTGACTGGACATACTGGGGTGGCTCTGTTGTGAGCACTGTCGCCTTATGAAGGACGTGGGTTCGAATCCTGGCTGGAGCAGGGAGTTTCTGTCTGGATTTTGCATGGTGTCTCTGTGTTTCTGTGGGTTTCCTCCACCATCAAGACATGTGTGTTAGGTTTATTCTCCAGTCAGTGCCCATGACCAAGGCCAATGAAGGATAAGTTAACTCCTGGGCCTTTAAAAAATATAACTTCTCTTTTTTTCGTAGTGTTGTCCGCTTTCGTCGCACAGGTGAGAGCACACGCTCAGAGGACGATGGCGAGAATAGAGAACAGGTCATCAAGATTGCAGAGCAGACCGATCTGGAGTCTGTTGCTCTTGCAGATGGAGCTCCGGTTCCTCGGGAGTTTGCGAATCCAACTGATGGTACAGTATGGCACACACAGCTTACAATAAACTCACACTCACTATTTTCCTTCCAGTCCAAGCAATGTTTTCCTTTAATGTGTTTCTAATGTCAAGAATTAACTTTAAATCACAAAATTAAATGACAAAGGCATGTAGAGGTCACATCAGCACCCACTGCTCTCAACTTCTGGTGTACAACTTCAGTTCCTTATAGAAGCTCTTAGACCTCTGTTCACAGAAGGTTTGTATCTCCTAATTTAAGGATTTCTGCATTGCTCCTTCCCTCAGACACATTCATGGTAGAAGATGCCGTAGAGGCCATAGGCTTCGGGACATTTCAGTGGAAACTCTCCATCCTCACTGGCTTGTCCTGGGTGAGAACTGCTCTCTACTGAAAATACATTAATTCCAGATGTATTTGTGTCCGTATTCTGTCAGTAAACACGTGTAAACTGTGCGTCTGTGGGTTTTCTGTTACAGATGGCCGATGCTATGGAGATGATGATCCTCAGCATCTTAGCCCCACAGCTCCACTGTGAATGGAGACTGCCCAGCCTCGAGGTGGCAATGCTTACATCGGTAATAGCTCTCTAATGTCTGTAAAGTGCTCTTGCTTTCAGTGCAATATGACTGTCCTGATAGTTATTGATCAAGTGCTTAGGGATTGTTTTGAAGTAAGTGCTTGTATTGAACAGTGACAACAATGTGGAAAACAATAGGGGCCCCTAATGGTTTAACGTCACTAGATATGTGTTGCAATATTCCTATTTGAATGACAATGAAAAGCATTTACTTTTCTAAGTACAACCTAAAACAACAGCGGAGCAGATTTTACTGAAGGTGTTCTTTTATATAATGCATGACAACACATATAAAGTGTAATTAATACAACATTCACAGTTTGTGAGAAGATAATTTCATGAAAATTTCACATTCAGTGAGGTCCAGTGGCTCTCACCAAAGCAGAAAGCTACCTGACAGGATGTGCATCAACTATGTGCAGTGAAATCATAGTCAAGGGCACATTTAAGCTCTCTAAAGCATTCCCCATCCCATTATCACTCTTTTTTTTCTCACTCGTGCAGGCAGTGTTTATTGGAATGATGATCAGCTCTTTTCTTTGGGGAAATATAGCTGACAAATACGGCAGAAAGACAGTAAGTTTGAATTAAAGCCTCTGTTTTGACATGTAGATTATTATATCATATTTCTTTCGAACATTATACTTGAGTTTATAGATGTTTAGCTTTTGGATTTCTCTCCCGAAGAGCCTCATCAGATCATTTATTTAGCAGCTTGTTGTGTTCTGATCTTACGCACACACAGGGTCTCAAGATGAGTGTGCTGTGGACTATGTTCTATGGCCTGTTGAGTGCATTTGCACCTGTTTATGGCTGGATCCTCGTCCTCCGTGCACTGGTGGGCTTTGGCATCGGAGGAGCCCCACAGTCGTGAGTAATCCACATCTATCTTTACTCACAAACAACAGTGCAGTGTATTATTTGAGTTAGAATTAACTGTGAAATGTCCCTCCTCATAAGGGTGACTCTGTATGCTGAATTTCTTCCTATGAAGTCCAGAGCCACGTGTATCTTGCTGATTGAGGTATGGATGTCCCTTTACTACTGTCTCACACTTCTATCATCCACCTAGAAATAGTGTTAACATCCAGAGATGACAGAACATGCAAGCATAACTGCACAGCACTGAAATGCTTTGTTTTGCTTGCAGGATTTTGTATAATTTAGATTTTGCCTTGCAGATATTTTGGGCACTGGGCACCGTGTTTGAGGTCCTCTTAGCAATCCTGGTGATGCCCACTCTGGGCTGGCGTTGGCTGCTTGGCCTTTCTACCATTCCTCTCTTCATCTTTGCCATCCTATGTTTCGTGAGTATTACGTTATCGGCCTTAAAATGTAATGTAATAATAATGTAATTTAATTTTCAATTCAGTTTTGCTTTAACTAATAGCTTTTATTTGCTTCAATCACTGAACCCAACCTGGCTTTATTTAGGCCTTTAATTCCTTTTGCACAAGACTCAGAAAGCTCGGAAAAGATGGGAAATACTATCACATTAAATTTAAGATTTTTAATTTAATGTTACTTGTATTGAAATTAAGCATTCATTCATTTGATCATTTGATACTTTGGTGCTCATAGTTTCTGTAAAATGAACTGAAGGATTTGAATTCTGGAGAATCTAACTGATCCAAGGATGTGTAGTTTGTCCATATTGACAAAAGTTTAAACATTTATAGGCGAATCTAAACAGCTCAAGTGGGTGACCCAGTGGGCTTTAAGAGGATTTATACATCCAAAAAATCTGTCTGATGTTTTTACATTATTAAAGGTTTTTATACCAAGCACAATCTAAAATGATTGTATTTTCGAAATTATAAGGTTTGGCATAATTACACTAAAAAACAACCAATAATAAAAGTGTTACATGAGCACACATACCATTCATAAGTGAAAACATTGCTAAATTTGGCTGAATTATACAGAGACAGAGACACAAAAATAACATATAATATTGAGAATAACAACTATAATAATAGAAATATGACGATAACAAATGACAGCTTTATCAACTGACCTGTCTGTTTTTTGGGGCGGGGGGTTTGGGAGCAGTGGCTACCAGAGAGCGCTCGGTACGACGTGCTGACGGGGAACCAGGAAAAAGCTCTGGCCACACTGAAGCGGATTGCGACGGAGAACGGAGCACCTATGCCACTGGGAAAACTTATCGCTGCCAGACAGGTAGAGGCCTGTTTCTATAGACTCTCTGGACATTATTCATGTGCTGGTATGTTGTATGTTCACTTGTCTTTGTGTCTGTTCTGTTAATTAGGAAGATCGTGGAAAGATTCAAGACTTATTTTCACCACACTTTCGATGGACTACAGTTCTGCTGTGGTTTATTTGGTAAGTGGAGTGAATGATAATGCCACCTTTCTCTCAACTCTGCAAACAACCTTACGTTCTCCAAGGGCACAGACACATGAATCTGAGTCTCTCACTTACTTTGTGTGAGCCACCATTGTTTTATCCTGTGTCTCTGTCTCTTCAGGTTCGCCAACGCCTTCTCTTACTACGGACTGGTGCTGCTCACTACGGAGCTGTTTCAGGAGGGAGGCGCGTGTGGAAGTGAGTCACTGCTCCGACACCAACAGACGCCCTCACAGATTCAAGGACACACACATTTTGATTTGGTATACTGAGGAAAGAGATATTGTAGTTCAGTGACTTGTGGGTTGAATTGTGAGATAAACATTTCTGATTCTAAACAGAGACTTGTGTGCGCAGTCTTTATATTTGGAATGAATAAGCATAGAAAATGTCTATCAGAGTCACTGAAAGAATCAACCACTTTTAAGAAATGTAACATCTGTTAGCAGGAAAAGCACAGGTGTACCTGATAACATTAAAGCTGGCTACAAGGACTCTAATGGAACAGAGCCATTGTTAATATTATTAGTTACACTTGTGCTTTTCCTACTCTGCCCAATCAAAATGTCTGCCACGATCAAGGTCTTTACATTTATACTGTGTAAAAAATGCAACACAGAGGCTGCTGGGTGTGAACTCTGCCGTTTGTGTTGTTTTATGCTTCCCTCTAGTGTCCAAAGGTAATAGGAGGGAGCTCCGATGCAACTTGGAGTGTAAATATCTGAACTCTGACGACTACAAGGACCTGTTGTGGACCACCTTATCTGAATTCCCAGGTACACACCAGATAAATGTCTTCACAAAGTCAATATTTGTCAATAATGTTTTGTTTTTGTGGTTGCCAGTTGCATGCTGTATGTTTTTTTTCTCAGTACTCACTACAAGTTCTTTATTAAAGGATAATTATCCAGTAAATGCTTATTAGTTGCTCCACCTATTGGTATGTTATTTCTTGGGACTAAAAAGGTCTTCATAATAATGGTAAATACTATGTAATTACTACACCTGTTTCTATAGGGATAGATCAGTTAAGGAGAACAGCAATAACTTATAAGTAAACCATCATAATGATATTGTTAATAGAGTCTCATTGAGTACAGTTTGGCAAGGTGTTAAAGAAGCAGTAAGTACATTTATGAAAAATAACTTTTTGTTATATTTGCTGAAACTTTATTCAAACTCATTATATCCTGACAGTAGTACAAGAGACTTATAATCAGGCTCTTCTGACCCCTCATGGTGCTCCCACTGGCATCTGCAAGAATCCACCTGAAAACAACCAGAGCTGACAAAGATAGAAAGAGGCTTTGAGATGGTAGCTTGAAGATAGTTGATTGTTGAGACTCTTCCTTGGCTCTGATTGGTTGTTTTCATTCAGGCCCGGTGGATTCTTACAAATGCCATCAGGGGCACCAGGAGGAGCCAGAGGAACCTGACTTTCAGGTTTAATATACAACTGTAGGGATCAGTGTTGGGCAGTTGTTTCCCCAGTAACTAGTAGTGTAACTAATTACCAATACATTTCAGTTAGAATATTACAGTTACCCCTTCAAAAAATAATTATTTACAACCTTACTTTTGTTGGCACCCCTCTACTGATTTGAAATCCAACCACATCCTTGGATCCTTTGTAATTGTGGAGAAAATTAGCTTGGAAGATGGAAAGGCTTGCATTCAGCAGCATTACATTGATTTTAACAAAGACAACTGGATTTTAATTCTCCTAAGTCTGAAGTTTCGGGAGAAGGGACACAATATAGTCATTTTTATGAAAGTTATCTAACTGCAGCTACAATAATTGTCCACTAATGATGGCTACATTCAGTCTGGCACGCCGGCTCACTGACTACCAGCTCACCTATATAAAATGGAGCCATCATTAACATTATTAGTTAAACCTCTGCTTTTCCTCCAATGATATGTCAAAATGTCTGGCTTGAGATAGATCTGTGCACATAGTAATACATAAAAGCATAAATTAATTACTGCACTGAAACAAAGAGCAATCCTGCATGTGACATTTGACAAACATGGAGTTTTGCATTGTTACACAGGACTGCTGGTGACACTGTGGGCCATTGATCGACTGGGAAGGAGGAAGACCATGGCGTTGTGTTTCTTCATCTTCTCTATGTGCATCATTCCACTCTACGGTTGTGTTGGGAGGTAAGCTGGATACTAGTGAGATTGTTAAACATGAAATTGCGGCTCCATCATTTATTTAACCAGCATTACTGGTTTCTCTGTTGCAGGGTTTCCATGACAGTGTTGATATTCATTGCCAGAGCTTTCATCGCGGGAGGATTTCAGGCTGCCTATGTGTACACTCCAGAGGTATGATACTTGCAAACAGTTAATAGTACAGCTCAGATGAGATCAATAACTGAGTGAAGAGAGCAAACATCAGGGCAGCCTCCTCAGTATTTTCTGAAACTCTGCAGGTGTACCCGACAGCGACCAGGGCTTTAGGTCTGGGAACAAGCAGTGGAATGGCCAGAGTTGGAGCCCTCATTACTCCTTTTGTTGCACAGGTAACGCCCTTCAGCTTCCTCATTTAAATATCCCACATCATAAGAAAGCGGTGATAATTTCTCTGTCTGTCCCCGGGCTACATCCTGCAGGTGATGTTGGAGTCGTCTGTGTATCTGGCTCTGTCCGTGTACTGCTGCTGCTGCCTCCTAGCTGCCATCGCCTCCTGTGCCCTGCCAATTGAGACAACAGGCCGGGGCCTGCAGGAGTCCAGCCACCGCGAGTGGGGCCAGGAGATGGTGGGCCGGGACTCCTCCCACAACTCAGAGAGAATCCCTCAGTCCAGCCCTGTCTCCCAGGGCTGAGGAGACGGCGGAGGGAGAACGACTGAGAGAGGCGACCACTGTGAGATAAAATAGGCAAGGAGAGGCGGAAAAAAAAAGCTCAACCAGCTTTCGGTGTCCATCTCCAGTCCCATCCTATGACTCTTCAGTTTAGGCACCACAGTGGCTTCAGAGAGCCAGGCAGCACAATATTATATATTATTATTATATAGTCTTCAACCACCATTGCTGTCACAATTTCGCCACTGAATAACTGCGCACAGAGTGACTGCGAAAGACCAACTGACCTACACGAGTGCAATATCGACAATATTATTGGTGGAACGATGTGTGAAACATCCTTGAACAAGTGAGAATTCAAATACTTCAAGCAAAGTATTTGATTCCCGAATAAAGAAGGTAAACATGTTAGAAGTTAGCTTCAAATAACTAATTCAAGGAGCCTTAAAAACTACCTATTCTGTTTGCGTTTGAGAAACGATTCTCAACCTTATGAAAAAGCTGCGTCTACTAGCATAACGGACATAAATGCGTAGATAAGACAAAGCATTATCTTGTGCACACAAATTGCCTGTTAAAATACACTAATTGCAAACTCAGCTTTCTAAAAAAAAGTGCATTGCTGGAATGAAGAACAGTTCATCGAATCAACAGACCATTAGATTACATAAGGTCTGTGGTTTTTCCATTTAGGATTCACAAGGCAGTGAAATGACAGACTGCACAGTGAGTCACTGACTTCCTCGTATACTGTAAGCATCCCTTTGAAATCCTGTGTCTGTTCTTTCTTCTTGTGTCAGTATTATTTCACATTTCAACATGGATGGATATTTGTTCTCTGCTAAAGAAATGAGAAAAAAGCAGGTATTACTCTAATAATAATGAAAATACCACCTCACGTCTTGATCATTACGTGGTGATTTTATTTACATTCATCTGAAAAAGCCCTCATCAGAGCATAATAACATCATACAGGCGACAATATTTCATAATTATAGCCCAACTGGAATCACAGATCCTGGACTGGACACAACATTATGTAAATTGAAGTATTAGGAAATCTAAATCTAAGTATTTTCATCACCAAACACTCAACCTAGTTAGTAAGAATTACATGATTTATTAACATGAGTATATGGTGTTAAGATCTAAAATCCATGCTGCATACACAACCATTTAGCAGGACGTTCTGTCTTTCTGTAAATACTGTATCAATACCTGGTTTAGTTGTTGTCTTTGCTTTTGTTTGTAACAAAGGTGATGTGAAGATGGACTTTGCCCACACTGAGTAAAGTTTTGTTTAAAAAAGGTTAACTAGTACAGGTCCAGCGAGTCTTACCTGCCAGTGTTTGAGATATAGTGCTGCATTAAGTGTCTGTGTGCACAGATTCTTGTCAATGCACTGGATGTAAATGTGTATGATACTATAGTAAATAACCTTTCAAAAAGAGCAGTGGATTCATGTTGTTATTTCTTACTAAACAGTGTGATGAGTGAAAGAGAGACACTTTATATACTTCTTTTAAATGACCCAAACCTCCTATGATTGACTTTGTTACATGTTGATTAATAATGGACGTTACATATACATTATGTTGTTTTAAAGTGATGTAATTACCTCAAAAATATATGATGCTGAATATTTGTTTGCTTTAAAAGATAGTTATGGATAAGATCAGTGTTTTTTTATGAGATACAAGGCACTGACATTTAAATTTTGAAAAGGAGCACCAATCACTGCTGCCGGACAGATTTACAAGCGAGCTTTTGGACCTTTGCCTTTTTGCTCCACGATCTGACCGAAGAGCCTCGCTGCCTCCTGGGCACAGCCTCTGTGAATGGTGAGTCCAAAGCCTCCATGGCCGTAGTTGTGAATCACCTGAATGAGAGCAACGATATTTCAGAAGTTAAGTGACCAGAAATTAATATTTAAAGCACTGCTTAGCTGTTAAGGTTTACCTCTATTGAAGTTGCACCAGACTTTATGTCGTCCCTCTCCAGTCGGACTTTGCTGCGGACAGGCCTGAGGCCGGACCAGTCCTCTACTATCCTGGCATTCTGTGGTTAGAGAACAACAAGACATAATCTTTCTCAAGCTTGAAAGCCTACACACACACTTTACAAGTTCTTTGTTTAGGTACGTACAATATGTAAATTCTGCCACTAGGTGGAGTCTCTCACATCTAAACAATAACAAAAGTTTTGTGTAGTAGCGTGGGATGATGGGAGTTGCTAACGTTAGCTCTGCTAGTTTCTCTGATAACTTAAGATCGAGACGTTTGATGACTAAAATCCTTCATCTGGTTAAAATATATAGTTAAAAACAACCAAGAACTAAAAAGAGTATTATAAAAATGTGGCTTAAAACTGGATAAAACGTCCACAACCAAAATCCATGTGCAAAGGGGAAATGAGCGGTAAAATGCACCGTTACTTGAATAAAATAACAGATTTCTCTGGGTTTGGACATTGTTAAAAACATTGTGGGTAATATATAACATTGGTCTAGTGTTCATAGACATTTTAATCAGGAAATGCTACACATTATATCTTTAAATCAAGTGGGTTTTGTGCCTTCAGATTTGAGTATTTGTGCACCAAATTGTCACTTAAATGTTTAAGGACTGTATTCTAGATATACTGTACTTTAGCACTTGCTGTAAATAATGTATTACAGATGAGAGAGTAATTCGTTTTATGGCATGTTAAAGAAACAACATTTTGATACCTTGAGACTGGGTTCAAGCTGGCAAGCGCCATCCCAGATCTTCTTATGGTCGGTGGAGTTGTTCTGTTCACTCCAGTTTCCCAACTGGAAAACCCCGCCAACTGTCACGAGACGACTCCTGCACACACAGATGTGAAGTTAGGTCACGAAACCACTTTGGCTTTGTAGCTTTCTGGCTACAAAAAGCATCCCAAATTACAAGTGCTCTGGCAGAAAGCAACAGAATGGGCCATGGCAACTGGACATATGGTTGGAATAAAGCTATATTTCATAAATAATCACTATATAGAAACTAACACTGTATGTGCATTATATATGATACTGTACATCTATCTAAGTTCAGTGTTCATAAGTGTTTTTGTGTAACTACATCTACCCTGGAATGATGTACGGTGAATTGTAGACTCCTGTTGTAAAATTGTGGGTAAGAATCCAATGCTTGATCCACGGAGCGTCCACCTGAGAAACAGAGGAAGGTTCAACCGCTATTACATGGTTCCTTTACAGCTGGTTATATGAACTATTAACAGACATTTGAACCCGTCCTCTCTCACCTTCACTATCTGACCGCGGCCTGGTTTGAGCTCGGGGTCTGGCTGGAGCTCTCCTGATCTTATCCCCGTGCAGTTTATTATCACATCTGCCCCAGTTTCTGCCAGCTAAATACAGGGACGCATGATAAGAGATAACAAATATGACAAGTGATAACACATTTTGTGAGTATCTCTTAATGTAAGCTGGAATAAATACAATATTCTGGATGTTATATTACAGACTGTATAAAATCGAATAATAAATATATACTGTATAGGCAACTATAAAATTTAAAGGCCTTCACTAACCTCCTTGAAGGACTCTATTTTCCTGTTGTAAAATTTCACACCCCTTTTTTGCAACCTGAGAATGACACAAAAAAACAGACAATGAGGTCCAGAACCCCCCCTAAAAATGTCAAGTTTTTGACCTAACACTATAGATTAAGAAAAACAACTGGTAGGCTGTGTTTACTATTCATTATACAGCGTATAGGGACTCGTATGTTGAGGACAATGTGTCAGATGGAAACATTTTAAGAACATTTCAGACACTAACAAGATCATTCCCATCTGGCAGCTGTCTAAATGTGCCTTTTTCTCACGCCTGCGTGATGCATCAGTGTTGTAGTACCTCGAGACCAGTTCTCAGACTTGAGTTCTCAGAGTTTTTCTTGTCAGTACTTGGACTTGTCTCTCTCATTTGGACTCGACTAATCCTAAACTCGACAAAGGTGGTCTTGACTACAGCACTGCATGCTGGTTAGCACTCAGTTAGTGTAAACTGTACACTTTTTACTTTGCACTTATATATATATATATATGTATATATATATCCCCCATAAAAGTGATTCAAAAAAATCACAGTATATAGTAAATGGTAAACAAAAGAAATTAGGAATTTAAACAAGTGAATAACCAGTGTATTTAACAAGCAATCTGGTGCCTCCTTTGACCTTTTTATTGGTAATAAATTATGTTGCACTGCACCAGATTAACTGAGTTGAACTCTTCTGAGTTCTGGTAAATAAAGTGCTGATACAACACGGAGAGTTACTTAAGAGAGAAGTTAATCACTCACCAATCCATCAGCCAAGGCAAATAGGATTTACCTTCCACCATGAGAGCAGTGTTGAACCACCCATAACTGGAAGAACAGACAGATGTGTTAGAGCTGCTGAACACAGAATTATACATACAATCCTAAAGATTAGCAATATATTGTTTAGAGAGGTAAAAACAAACAGATCAATGATGCAGAGAGATTTCACATACAAAACATTTACAGTAAGTCACCTGGAGAAAGCATCAGAAATCAGAACAATCCCTTTATCTGGATAAACATTCTGTGATACATTATATACATTATTATAATACATCTTTGGAAGACATTTTTCTGTATTCTTGTGTCTGATACACAGCAAAAGTCTGTTTGGAAACGATCAGATGTTCAGCATTAAATAATACACTATCTAACAAGTAACTAATGTTCATCTGGGTTTTTGCTTTCAGTGGCAGGACGACCAGCAGCTACAGGCCCCTGATCGGTCCGTTCTGTCCTGTCCTGCCTGTCAATTCATCATGGAGGGATAAAATTCAGGGCCAATAACCTGCAAACACCATGTGTTGATCACAGAAAAAGAACAGTATCAACTTCAAAAAGTGTCAATATGAGAACTATAAAACACACTGATGATGAATAGCATACAACAATATTGGGGATGCTGTGTAAACAAAATGTGGGTGCTTTACATTACACTTTACATGCTTTAAGATTTAATATAATTAATTATTAATCTGGTTAATATATGACTGTAAGTTGAGGGATGAAGTCACCCTCTCAGCCCTCCAAACTCCCTCCCAACTTCTACCGCCAGTGGTCCACCCAGTGATGTCATTATGAACTGTCATAAAGTTAGTATAAATAGGACTTGTCTCAGGCCTTTAGCCTTCAGCCTCTGGGGGGGTTTTGGGGACACCCATGGGTGACCTCGAAGCCGGTAGGACCCACTGAGATTCAGGCTCGTGGCAACACCCTTCCCATGCCTGACCGGTGCGCAACAGTCACTGGCAAGGATGACCCCCCAGAGCTCCCTGTGAAAAAGACAAAGCCCAAAAATATCTCTCTCTCTCTGTCATTTCCCACTTTCCTTCTGTTCTTCCTTTTTCTGCTTTTTCTGTCTTCTTTTCTCTGTCCTCTCCTTCTCTTTCTTTTCTCTCTTCCTCCCAAAAACAAAAATATTGTGTCTATGACACAAAGGAAAATGTTCACTTTTCTTTATAATCCCAATCAAATCACTATATTATTAGTTTTCAATTTGTTTTCCACACCTTGAAAACTCAAAATTCTGTCTGATATTTAGCCCTTTTGGCCTGAATGCCAAACATCATGTCTGGAAGGAAACAGCCTCCCTGCAAAGAACCAATGGAGAAACTGTCCAATAATCCGTCCGCCCAAGCTCTGTAGCTTCATACTCACAAAAAGACTTGAGGCTGGTTAATTGGTGCCAACGGGTGCTTAAACAAAAGTACTGAACAGAACAAAATGTGAATTCTACGTACATGTTACATTTTTGTTCTTTATTTATGAATAAATTAACAAAAGCAAACTTTTTTCATGGTTGTCATTATCGGATTATTGTGTGTAGAATTTTGAAGAAAACAATAATTGAATTCCCCTTTTGGAAAAAGGCTGTAAACATAACCAAAATCAGTAGGAACAAGTGAAGCGCTGTGAAGTATTTTCGCAGACGCACTGTTCAACTTAAAATGCCATTAGAAATACAAGTATACACATTTAAGTTTGGATTTAATAACATAAAAAATAAGATACAATTAACAAATATGAGAGGACAATATAAACTACAGTGGAATAAAACAGAATAAAAAAATAAAATGAATAGAATTTGAATAAATAATAATACATAGACCTTTCCAACCTCTGTTTGATTTTGAATTTTGAAATTCTGAAATTGAAATCAGGATTCAAACCTTCCACTTTCACATGGTTGCTAACCTTTAACATTCAATTATAAATGATTTATCACCAGTATTTAACAAAATGTCCAGTAACATTATTTGAGCTGTTTTTCCCACCCTGATGAAATCACTGGTAATGAGCTTAAATGGACATTTGAACGCATCAAACCATTTAATCATAATGTGTTACCTTATCTAAAATAAGGTACAAAGTGATTGAGAATAAACTGATAACTGTCTACTTAAAACAAGTGCGGTTCATGATGTTATTGTAAACTCACAGGCCAGATCTGAAGCATTATCTTCCCATGTTAAACTATTCAAACCAAAGTCTGCAGCAGAACTATGAGTTCATTCCTGTAAACATTGAGTGCTTAACAGTAATTAAAGGATCAAATATGTGGACTGTTTATTGATAACTCAATCATTTTAATGTTCTTATCCAACAAAGCAGCAACAACTACTGCAAAGTAAACAAAAATGAAACAAAAATTAGGTTGAATTTTTGATTGATTTAAAGGAAATGTGAACCATTTTCCTTTGTGTCCATAGGACAATTATTTTTTGTTTTTGGGGGAAAAGAGAAAGAGAAGAAACGAGAGGACAGAGAAACAAGAAGGGACAGAAAAAAGTGGGAAAGGAACAGAGGAGAGAGAGTATATTTGGGGTTTGTCCTTTTCAAAACAGGAGCTCTGGGGGTCATGCCCTGCCAGACCGTTGTGCGCACAGGTCAGGCATGGGACAAGGTGTTGCCACGAGCCTGAAAGCTCAGTGGCGTCTACCGGGCTTCGAGTCACCGTGTGTCCCCCGAAACCCCCCCAGAGCTGAAGCTAAAGCCTGAGACCAGTCCTATTTATAATAACTTTCATGACAGCAATAATGACATCCACTGGTGACACGGGTAGACAGTGGGAGGAGTTTGGAGGTTGAGAGGTGAACTTTCAATGCCCTAACTTACGGAGACCAATATTAATACAATATACAAATAACAATGAATAAATATTAACAATGATTGATCAAATAGTGGTGACAGCCATCAAGTGTGGAGTTCAGAGAAGCCTTCCATCTACGCCAAACTGAGGGCTCCCTCCCATAAGCAACAGACAGTTTAATGAGCCAGACTTCAGGAGAAAACTGGTCTTCTAAAGACAAAAACATGCAGTTCCCTGAATGTTAAAAGCATGTAAAGTGAATGTAAAGCACCCACATTTGTTACACAGCATCCCCAATATGTTGTATGTATCATCATTAGTGTGTTTTATAGTACTATATTATACTTTTTGAAGTTGATATTGACTGAAAAATAAGTGGGTATATCTGATATACCTGATATATAAATTGATTTAAACAACAACATCACACACATTATTGTGGCACATTAGTAAAGTATTGAATATAAATATCTAAAGGTGGCATTAGAAATCACTGTGTGATGCACACAAAATGTATGGTCACATTTTTTTATTGGTGTTTCTGATTATTAATTATTTGCAGTTGGCAAAAGAAAATAACTTGAGAAGACGCTTTAGAAAGAGACACACATCTGCCTGCTTCATTTCTTTTTGCTGTTTCCTCAGGTACACACACCTGTTTGTAGTCTTCATTAAACTGAGGCCTGTAACATAAACAGTGACATAAGACTACTCTTCCATATTTAACAAAAGGGGGCCAGTAACCATTATTTGAGCTGTTTTTCCACCCTGATAAATCACTTTAATGAGCTCTACAGTTGTTCTACTCACACAACGGTAAAGAAATAGTCCTAATATACAATATCTAACACAATATATAGCATATAAATGAATGTATAGGTATATGAATATAGTAAAAGTAAAAATAAAAATTGAAATAGACATAATAAGAGCCTAAGAGATATAATAAGATAATAAGAGCCTATATACAAAGTAAATGTAAATGTAAACATATTCCACAGTATTACTTACGGAAGTTAAATAGTAATGAGTTCTAAAGATTGTGGTTTGGCAGAAGTTATAGATATATACAAAGAATGACATAATAATCAAGTGTATTGCACCTTAATTGACTTATTGCACTTTAACAGCACCAGTTTAATGACTGATGGACTCAGTCATCAGAGTTTTCATTGTAGAGTGGGTGGGAGACATTGTCCAAGATGGTATAAAGCTTTGTCAGCGTCCTCCTCTCTGACACTACCGTCAAAGAGTCCAGCTCCACTCCCACAACCTCAATGGCCTTGTGGATCTGTTTATTGAGTCTGTTAGCGTCTGCTACCCTCAACCTGCTGCCCCAGCAGACAACTGTACTCAGTCTCATCCCCCCCTGCTGATACACCTCACCACAGCGGAGTCATCAGAAAACTTCTGAAGATGAAGATGAAGGAAAAGTTGTGCTACGTCTTGTGACGCACACTAACTGTATGGTCACATTTTTTTATTGATGTTTTTTATTATTAATTTCTGAACTTTGAAATGTACTGTCTTATTTAAAACAGTAGAAAAGCAGAAGGATCTACATAACTTCCTGGGAAGTGTGCTTTCACCTATGGACAGTAGGTGGCAGTGCAGCCCTGTGGTTCTCCCTTGTTAAGGTATAAAGAGTTCATCATATTAATATAACAGCCACCATTAGCCAGACCAGAATACTAATTGATTTTAAAGTTCTATTAAAATGTAAGCTTGCACAAGCAAACTGTCTGTAGCCAATAAGATACACTTATAAACCCTGATGTTTTAGTACATCATTTTTAGTCACATCTCTTTCTCAGAGGAAAACCATCAAGTTGTTCTAACCACTGTCTTTGTAGAGAAGAATGACATAAGCCTAGCTTGAAACAGTGATTCGATAGGCTTAAGAAACACATAAAGGCTTAAGTCTTTCTTCCAACAGCAAAAATCTGCCTTTGCTTAAGTCCAATTTGTTGTTTTAGCCTTATCACATTCAATTATTATTAAAATAGCAATGCACATGGGGCACCCGGATAGCGGTAGAGCTGGCGCCCCATGTACCATGGCTGACTCCTTGCTGCAGCGGCCCAGGGTTCGACTCCGAAACTGTGGCCCTTTGCTGCGTGATGTCCCCTCTCTCGACCCCCTTCCTGTCTATCTTTAGCTGTCCTATCCTATAAAGGGGAAACCCCTAAAAACAATATTAAAAAGGAGCAATGCACATCATGTAGCCTACAGTAGGTGTTAGGTCATCCTGTTACATCCTCTTTTTAAGAAGGGAAAAAGATGAAAACACAACAACCAAAGAAATTGCCAAGTAAAAAATAGTTGTGACAGTTAAGGAGATTTATTTTACAAATTGCTATTAATAAAGACAAATATTCTCAGAAGTGTGAGGGGGTTTTGGACGGGGCGGTTGTGCAAAATAAAATTCAAATAATATAACAAAACTGAGCCTTAACTACTAACTGCCAGTAAACAAAATACAAACAAAAGGCTCAACTAACTTATCTAAAAAAACAACTCAAAACATGCAATGGTGGCACTAACCTATAACCCTAGTGTATCTAGACAGTGTTTGGCTACATGTGTGAAAGGTGTAAAGGGTATCCCAAAAGCTAGCTAGTCCTAAACCTTTTTTAGTACAGTGTTTTACAAAGCCCATGTCACAGATAACTGTGGTCAGAATGTTAGATATACCTTGTTTTAGGCCTCCAAATACGCCCTAACTGGCTTTGATTGGTTGGCCTTAAGGTAAAATTGAACCAAAATATTCAAGACTGATTTTCTCAATTATGCGATTATATGACAGTGATGTCCATTGTCATGATAATCTATATGTACCCAAGCTAAAAGCAGCAAGGCCCAGGATGTATTTTATTATAATATTGATATAAGTATTTTTTTCCTCAATATGTAGTTGATTGATTACTAAATGTGATCCATTCAGACACCTTACTTCTAACTAGAAACTAATGCTAGACACCCAACGACTACAAATAATTGCAAGCAACAAATGATAAATGAAGATGAAGAACAAGAACAACAAATGGTTGACAAAATTCAGATACTGTGTTCTCACATTCAAATATACATTTCAGCTGTAGCACCACAGAATTGTACATTGCATCAAAGAACATGGAAACTAATTCTGCATCAACCTTTCATTTCTTTCTGCATCTTTTGTTGTTTTCTGATTTTCTGCATTTCCATAAAATGAAAATACAGTGAAAGAGGACAAGACTGGTGCTGATAATCCAACGTATGGCTAAAGACCAAATGGCCTCCTTCTGTCTTAACTGACACTCTTGTACCATGCCGTCCACCGACACCTCCTCCTCTCTGAAAATCAACTTCAAATGACCACATTCATTATCATCACTGGTCCAGCTTTCTACTGAAATTTCAACAGTAGTATGATTAAGTCCAATGAAAGTCAGAAGAACTCTGTCAGATAACAGTTGGCAGTCAAATTGGTGTGTTGAGCGTGAGCTGAAGTACAAGACGTCTGTGGCATTGTCCTTTGCACAGTTGTTAATGGCGACTGAACCCTGGTCAAAAGCCACCATGTAAATGTCATTTCCTTCACCCCCAACCAGGTAATCACCACCAGTGGACACCAAGATGTCATTGCCATCCGAGCCTTTGAGAAGAGAACTTCCGTAACCAGACACCAAGATATCAGAATAAATGGTGCCAATGACCGTCTCCACGTCTTTCAACACGTCCCCCTCAGCGTCAGCATAGCGGCCTTGTCCAGTCAGCAGGTTAACATAAACCCCTTTACCTGTGTCATGATCGCCCTTGTACAGAACAGTGTCTCTGCCAGGACCTCCGTCCACTAGATCAGCCCCATATCCAGGAATGAAGACATCCCAGCCACAGTTTCCCATCATAGTGTCATTTCCATCCTCGCCATAAAGAGTGTCGTCTCCCAAGTCACCAAAGAGGATGTCATTTCCGTTCCCTCCAATCAGTGTGTCATTTCCTTCGCCTCCTTCAAACACGTCGTCCCTCCAGCCACCAATTAGAGCATTGTCTTGAGCATTACCCAGTATGTTATTGGGCAGGGAGGAACAGCCCTGCACTGTATGGACTTTAGACAGATTCCTCTGAAAGCTGAGGTCCAAATGGCAGTCAGCCTGAGACTGTTTCAAAGTGACTTTGAAAGCTTCAATGTGAAAGAAAGAGTCATCTACAGTTGAGTTTAGTGATTTCAGTTTAAATTTCACTCCGTCAGAGCTCTGGAATTCCAGGTGCTGATGTTGGTAGCCTTTTGTGTAATTGATCAAACTCAATTTTAGTTGTTCCCCTTTTGTCGTGATCATCACATTCAGATGTGTTGTTGTTGATTCCAGTGCAACTTGACTGCCACCGAGGAAATCCATATCAACCATCACAGTATCAATATTCTGATCTTCTGCAAAGTTATCAATCATTAAGTTGGTTCCATACTCATGTTTGATTATGTAGGTGTCTTTTCCTTCACCTCCAAACATCAGTCCACCCCCAGTGTAAGGATCAAGCAAATTCTCATTGCTGTTCCCAGCCATGATGTCGAAACCTGAGGAGCCATACATTTCTTTCACTGAATTGGTATTATTCATTAACATTACTTTGCCTTGAAGGTCGCACAGGTGTCTGTCCTCTGAATTTTTGCTTCGGTATCTGAAACACTCATCATATTTGGATAAAAATACCTCATCTGATATCTCAGTTGTTTGAAGTGATTCAGGTTTCTGGTTTCTATAGTCAACAGTTAAGGGTACCAATAAAAACTTGTCACAGCTGCTGCGGTTGGACATCAGTTCAGCTGTTATTCCATCACTGGTCTTGATCTGCAGGTGCTGATAACTCTTTGAATTAAACCAGTTCTGTAAAATAACATCTTTTCTGCCGTAGACCGAAATTGTGATGTTCTGTCCTTCACACGTGCATGTGATGTTCTGATATTCTTCTTTTAGAAAGAGTATGTCCACGGTTAGATCTGGTGATTGATTGTTGATGGTTTTTACTCCTTGTCCTGGTGTGATAATGTACCAGTCCTCTCCTCCTTTACCTTGCATAAAATCATTTCCTCTTCCTGGAACAACAACGTTGTGTTCTTTGTTCCCTCTGATGACATCGTCGAATGCTGACCCGCGGACCTCTGTCACGCTGTGAAAAGCCTCGTCCTCCTGAAGGTCTACCACTAGAGCAGATGGAGAGCTGCTGTAGTCAATGTTGCGACTTTTTATGCACTTGGTGAAGGGATCAGTCCGTAGGCAGTCAGTCTTGTTATCAGAGATTGTGAAAGTTATCAGATCTTTTGTCACAACAAGCAAGTGTCTGTCTGCTGGTGATCTGAACCACCTCACTAAAGTCACATTGATGGCTGTATTCTCATGGAAAGCGTTCAGAACAACATTATCACCATCTATCCTGACATTAAAAGTGTGAAGATTTGCTTCTATTATGGCCATGTCTGTTTTATTGTCTCTGGAGTAATTTTCAATAAATACTGAGGACTGTTGTCTGGCTTTCAGTATGTACATGTCTTCTCCTTCACCACCGATTAAATGATCTCTACCTCCTCCTCCATCCATCAGATTCTTCTCTTCATTCCCAATGAGCACATCATCGTACCGAGACCCAAAGATGGTTGTTACTGAACTTAAAAGTGGTTGTGAAGCATTCACAATTTCGCTGCGATTCTTAAACATCATGTTAATTCCTGTGGCCATCAGCCTGACAGAAGAAACCACAGTAGAAGAAATCTCAAATAAGACCCCGTCTCCTGACATGATGTTCATGTGACGATACAGTTCCCCTACGAACCACCCTTCTATGGTGACCGTATGACTCCCCGCATACATTAACACAACATCATCTCCAGATTTAGACACAGAAATGTCACTGTAATTAACACTAAAATGAAGAGTGTCTAATGCTTTGGAAGGATCGTAGTTGTTAATAATTGTTTTCCCTCCGTTTTCTGGAATGATGTATGTGTCTTTTCCACCAGAGCCTTTAACGTAACTTTTCTGTGGACCGAGGAAGAATATATCATCACCTGGTTCACCATAAAGCTCGTAATAATAACATAACATGACTTCAATCATATGTTGGTCATCTGCTTTCTGAATTGCAAAAAAACGATTAGAATCTCTATTCCCTTTGTATATCCCATATCTGGAATTAGATACAGCTTTATAACCTGAAACCACTGTCACAGAGCCGGCTGGTATGAATATAAGTACTTTTTTCTGTAGTGTCTTGTACTCTAACTGATGTGATTCCCCCAGGCCAAGCATAATATCTTTGTTTCCATATGTATCAATCTTCCAACACCTCTGTCTAAAACTCTCATCGCTAGACACAAAATAGTTCATGCAGAATTCAGACTGTCCCTGGTCTGCCAAACAGAAGTTAATACCACCACCGTTCCAAGCAGAGTCCCCACCACTAAAATCAATGGCGCTTGTTCCATCCTGTTCTTTTGTAACTCTGTAATATTTGTGATAATCTGATATCTGTGCAACTAGTCTGTGTCCCTCCTCAATTTCATCATAACACCAATCATAAAAGATACTTGCCACATGAATTCCAAAATGCAAAATTCCCTTCCCAAAGCCACGAAAAACAGCCAGCAGTTTTTCTGGAACTCCAGCATCCTTTGGGAGGCTGTTCAGTTCATTCTGTATGCCCATATAAATGTCATCAATGGCCATCCGGACTACTGATAGGGCCAGGTTTATAGGCATTATAAATGGTGCCAGTTCAGGCTGCATGATTTCAACAACATCCAGTTCCAACATAACACCATCTAAGGCAGCATCAATGTATCCCTGTGTGTCACCTCTCTCCATATCTTGTTCATAATTGTATATCCCAAATCCAATCCCAATTAATGGTATAACAGTCATTGTGCCCTTCATTACAGGACTTTCCATGATTGCTGTTGCAGCTCTGGCAATTCTTGCCTCTGAGGACAGAGTTTGTCTCGCAATAACAGACGTTGTCATAGCTATCACTCCATGAGTCGTTTGCAAAGTTCCCACCACACCATCTTTGACATCACCCTGTTCATAGGCATTAAAAAATCCTTTCATCCCCAGCATGAGGCCCAGCGTCCCAACAGCAGTCCCAACGTGCTCTACAAGCGTGTTGACTTTATGGGAGGAGACTGAAACATGTGTCTCTAGGTCATGGACTGCTGTGTCAATGCCTTTCAACATCTTTTCATTGTAGTGTTGGCTCTCTGGAGATAACGCAACCCTAAACTCAACAGGTTCAATATCAGTACCCTCAGACACAACGTTAAATATGAACTGTCCATTTTCCATTCTGGCACTGCCCTCCTGGAAGTGCAACCCTTCCAGATTTTCTCCATATTTTGCTTTTATGTGACTGTGTATTTGTTCA